GCTTTGGCAGAGCGGGCATCAGCACAGGATGTACAAGTCCACCTTGAACCCTAGGTAATTACTCGCAGGACTAGCCCACGCTGAAGCACGTGCTGCCACGGCCTCACTGCTGCTGTACCCAAGAAGGCTAGGTTAAAGATAGTGAGGGTATGTCTACACAAGCTGCAATCCTACCTGTGATTGCAGTGCGGACATACCCTTACTGTTGAAGCGAGGAGGTAAGTACTCATACTAGGGTTCAATCATGAGCAGCTGCTTGGTGACAGCCAGGAGTAACTGTGTCGGAACACATTCTGGCTAAATGCTGTTTGTTACCATCCTAGGCTTCTCAGGTTGTGTGTGAGCAATGACCCTGAGCCTCTGTCAGTGGGAAAAGGAAATCAGGACAGATGATTTGGAAGTGATGGAATGACCTCAAGGAGCAGGGTGATATTAAATGTGCTGAGACTTGCAGTCAATAGTCCAGGAAAATCAGTGGAGGGGCTTATTATCCAGGGAGTGAGGAGACAGCAAAAGAACCATCTGCTCTCTCACTCACATGTGCTGCAGGGGAGTTGGGTAGAGGTATAGGACATTCCACCCTGGCAGAGTCCGGCAGCAGTGCCTGCAGTGACTATTGGGGAAGAAAGAGATGCCGCTATTAGGCTGAAGTCAGACATTCATATAATGCTGGGAATGCTCTGATCATTTTCTGCGGTTGACCCCCCAAAAAAGCAGCTTAAATTAAAAGTGCCCCAATTCTGAAGGGCGTGGAAACAGCTGAAAAGGGATATTTTTATTAAAGAGATAAAATATGCATATTCAACAACAAAAAAATTCAATAATGGGGTTACTCCAGTTACTGCAGTCTCAAGACTACATTTACTTAAGTACAGAGAATTTACCAAGATTATTTCATTGATACAGTACTTGATCAGCAATTCAATTACCATGCACAAATTCTCATCCAACAGCTACACAAGCAGAAGATACCTTGGGCATGCTTCCCCAAAATGCACATTCATGCTGTTTTCATATAGCCCATATAATTAAATGTATGTGTACCTGTAGCAGAACAAGGACTTTAGGTAATAGGATGTAATTTTACAGCGACTTGGTTTTTTTTAAAGAAGGAGAGAAAAGGAATTCACGGGGAGAGAGAAAGAAAAGGACGGAGATAGAAAGAGGGATAGACAGAGAAGGAGTGAGAACACATTGACACAGCAATGTTCATTAGGGCAGATCCAAAGCCCAATGCAGTCAATAGAAGTTTTTCCATTTGCTTGGAAGTGCTCTAGCCAAGCCTATTTAGGCTTTGCATTGGTATGCGGTTCTGATGAGCCTCCTAAAACTCAGCTGGGAACCCTGATGATCCTATTCAAGGCCAGTGAAGTGGCAAAATTCTATCTGCTCTGCTGCCCCGCTTCCCTCTCTCCCTTCTCCAGAGGTCCTTGTTCTGCAACACCTCATATTCCCCCTTCTCCACTGCCCCAGGCTCCATGTGAGGGTGCTAATCACGTCACTTAATGCACTAATAGAAGACACTCAAAACACTATGGTGATTTGCACTGTTGAAGAATCCATGTAGAACAGAATATGCTCCCCAGTCAACCCTCGTGCACATGGTCCCTAGGCTCCTAAGGACTTCAACAGAGTTCAGAGGACAGGGGATACCAGGGACTTGGAGAGCCAACAGTCCAGGGAGCCAAGACCCTTCCCACCGTCAAAGAAACAAATTCAGTGCACTTTGTTATAACCGTTTCACACTTTCTCTTCTCGAGCTAAGTTCCATCAAAAAAAGTTTGAAGAATCTCCTCACTGAGGCAGGCATCCACTATTACAAAGCATCTTCATTTCCCAACCCCTCATCCAATGAACTTGTTGATGGGAATAGTCTCCTTTTCCCATAGCCTAACACCCTGTCAACTGGATTACATTTTGAGCTCTACTTCCTGAAATCCAGCTGTCTCCTGCCATCCCGTTTTAAACCCATCAGCACTGATGAGCCATTAGAACCCTAATAACTTTTAACATTAGAGCTTGGTTCTCTGACCTGTGTTTCTGGGTAATAGATCTTGACTATATCCACCCAGTAAACTAATTTTTCTCTCTCCCTTTCTTTCAGTTATTGTTTTGCTATAAGGCAAAGGGTAAGCTGAGGGTTACCAATAAAGAAAATGTGCAAGCAACACTAATAAAAGCTTTGGCTTTGAAGGCCACACTTGATAATAATTTATATGGGCTCATAATTTTTACAACCTTCATGTAAACACATTTTCAGATTTACATGCATAAAAAGTACTCAGTCATGCACAGATTTGTAGTAGCTTTGCATGTACAGCCATTGTTAAGTAGATGATATGTTTAATATTGCCTTGGACTACAGGAAATGTCTACAGAGCTGTAATCATTTCTAAATAATTATATGCATCAATGTAGACTGAAACTAAACACTTAGGATCATTGGCTGCTCTGCCTTCATGAGTATTCCCACTGAACACACCAATGGAAACAGGACTGGACCTTTAGTAAGATCTAGGACGCTCTGCAACACAGAGAAGTCATGCTCATTTGCATGTTAATACTCAAAATGCTTGCCAGCCCTTTGCTAATGGAAGTACTCGTTAGCGTACTGGATTCTCACGTTTCCCTATGGCTTGTCTACACAGGAAAGTTTTGCCAGTTATACTGGTATAATTAAATCAATAGACCGGCATACTGAAATAAGAGTGTATAGATGGGGTTTATAAGAGTGGCTTTGTTTGGTTTAGATTAAACCTCTTCCCAAACAATTTCAACTAAAGCAAAAGAAAGCTACTGAAATAAGAGTGTGCATATGGGTAACTATACTGACTATATATACACTATACAACTATATCAGTTTACCGTCACACATTAGTTGATACTAGTATAGATTTTCCATGTAGACAAGCCCTTAGTGTGGCCTAAAGACAACAATTCAAGATCCTTGGGAGCAAAATGAATGGATCAGGCCGAACGTCCATCAAGTCCAGCAGCCAATAGCAGCCAGCTCCAAAGGCTTCAGAACAAAGTCAGAAACCCTGCAGAAGGCAGTAATGTAATAAGCTGCCCCCAAGGAAAGTTTCGTTCTGACCGCCATTAATTAAAGGCTAGCTTTTTCCCTGAAGCATGAGAGTTTCTATCCCCCAAAACTCTTTTTTTTTTAATTCTTACAACTATAAATCTGGATATATATTACAAATATCTAATCCCTTTGTGAAACCTGCTAAGTACTTGGTAGCAATAATTAAGTGTTCCCCTTGTCTTGAGTGAATGCTTCGGGCCTTCAGTGGCTAGTCTAGATACTACAGAGTTGAGGGACTGAAGGATAGATGAGAACAAGACAATCCCATTACCAGAAAACCCAAAACTCTTCTTAAATCAAGCAGGTGAAATAATCCCTTTATATAACTGCTTTTCTCTAAAATCTCCTTATACATATCTGTAAGGGGTCTTTTCCTATCAATTACCCCATATCTACTGCATGTATATAGTATATAGTAAGGACCAGTTTGTAGCAAATGTGCCCTATTCAGGTAATATTTGCCTGCCTAAACAGGTTATCGGAGAACTACTGCAAAATTTACTTTATCCTGTATTCAGTCGTCTTCTGCTAAAATTCAGCTTTCAGGAGATTTCTCTCTCTAAGATTTTAAGTACAGTGCCTCTCCTTCATTGTTATTCAAATTACTTGACTTATGGCGCTTATCAGTTCATTAGCTAAGTTCACTAGGATGACCCTGATATCACCTTCGCTGTTTTATTTGACAAGGACACCATTCAAACTATGTGTATCTTGCCTCAAAAGAAGCCCAAAGATATTGTACGAAATACAATGGGTTCGATTGTGTAATAAGACTGGCACCTTCCTTCGAGTTCACAGGGTAAGCGCTGAAGTCAGAGGCACAAGCCTGCAAAGAAGTGCAGGCAGAATGATGATCAAGTCTGGGAGACATGAGTAATTCCCTGACTAAATGTATGATGTGTTGTGCAATAGCATCTCAAAGTGCCTCAACAAATAAGGGAGCTGTCACATACATGAGAGGCAGCATGGGACAAATCATTAGACTGGGAGTCAGGAAACTTGAATTCTGTTCCTGGCTCTGTCACTATCACTCTTTGCGACCTTGGCCAAGTTGCTTCACCACATTTTCCTTCCCACCTTTTGTCTATTTAGACTAAGTTATTTGGTGTATGGGACCAACTCATCATCGTATGTTTGTATAGCACCTAGCTGTACAGTTGGTAGTACAAAGAAATAAGAAAACTCTGCTGGGACCTTGCAATGTTTTTGCATGCTGACTCATACTGAGATTTTCAAAAGTGTCTAACAATTTAGGGTTGTCAAGCATTTGGGTGCCCAACCAATCAGCTTAAAGAGAGCTAATTTTCAGGAAGTGCTGGGTACCCACTTTCTGAAAATGTTGCTCTTTGGGTGTCAAGTTGGGTATCCAAAACTAAGGCAGCATTCAAAAACACACACCTGGAAAATAACCCTTGTCATTATCGGTGGGCCACATCCTCAGCAAAGCAGGTGTCTGATTTCTCCTTCAGCAACTAAAATCTATAGTTTAGAAGGTGCCTGACTGCAAACAGATAAACTAGAGAGGATAAACAGATGCCACCACTGATATTTTACTTGCTGAAATCAACTGCAGTAATAAAATATTGTATTTTATTTTCTGAACTGGTGGTAATCCTGATTGAGCAGCACAGCGACAAGTTACTGTCGTTATGTAGATAGCAGGAGATTACACAGCTACTGATGTACACTAATCTGCTGATTTATATTATCCTTGATTCCCTTGGATTTACGACAGTTAAACCAACTCCTGCCACTGTTAAAGACTATGGAAAGATTCTCTCGTACTATGTCCGTGTACAGTGCCTAGCACAATGGGGCCCACGTCTCATTTGGAGTCTCTAGCCCCTATTGCAATGCAAATACTAAATAATGATTTGATTAGTCTCAGTAACATAAGCAAAGAAATAAAACTTACAGAACCAGCAATTCCAGAAACTCATAAGGCCGGACTTCTGCCTTCTTCACCAGGTCCCTGTTTCTTTGCATCTTGCCAATTTCTAGAAGTACTTTGCCATGCCACACATCTGTTACAAAATGGACAGAGATACGTTAAGTGCCTACCCCATAAAAGCATCAGCAACCTAGGATCAACCTTCTTTCAAGCAAGCCCAGTAAAGCTTTGCTTTTCGGAGCAAGGATGCAATACTAACCAGGAAGAGAATCATTCAGCTTTGTTGCTTTGGTGACCCATCTATGTACAGTCAAGAATCATAATTTCTATTAGTAGTAATGTACCATTAAATATATGCTTCACACGTTGTAATGAGTCCCAAAGTGCCTTATGATGCATTAAGTTCTGGTTGGGTCATACCTTGGTTGATAGAGAAAAGACATTAACAAGTTAACAGTGTATACATTGCACGGGACATTATGATTTGTTATAAGGCCTGATCCAAAGCCCATTATGTCTATGGAAGAATTCCTGTTGACTTCAGTGTGCTTTGAATCAGTCCCTAAATGAAGGGGAAAATGCTGGGTAGGGCACTGGACTAGGCAGCAGTGGCCTTGATATAACATCCTCCTTCATCAGTGCAGCACCTGCCTGCTACTTCACTGCACTGTCAGTACTATTGTTAGCCCAGATCCTGGTGCATGGGGCTTTCCCCCTCACACTTTTGGCCCAGTGACAAGTTTGATTATTGAGTGAGCTATACCAATTGCTACAACAATCCTCAGCAAATGAGAAGTGGCTACACTTTAGAAATGCCATTGCAACAGGACGAGAATTCAATGCAATCCCATTACAATTTTATTCACCATCAGTAAGGCAAGTAATAAAAGCAAAGCCTAAGAGAACAGAAAACAAAAAGGTTCTCGTATAACAATACTGATTTATGTGCCTACTATAAAAAATACCAATTGACTAATTTAAGCAATAACCTCAAAAACTGCATGTTTCCTTCAACGTCATCTGGATAATTTACAGAGATCTAAATTAATTATGTTTTAAAATCTCACATCGCTGTAGTCCATTATAATGCATAGTCTTATCTGCAAGGTTGGCCTACCAAAAGCAGCTGTAGAAATTCAGTGAGCACATAACCACATTAACAGTCCCACACATGCCAAGATTTGCATAAAATAAGCAGTTATCAGCAATTATGGTTTGCCAAGGAAAGATTCTTCAAGGGCCCTCTTACAACTAGTGACAGATGTAATGTTCCCAAGTTTAGGCTTTAATTTATTCCTAGACTGGGCAGAAGCAGAAGGAAAACACATTGTGCATTTTACAAATCAGTTCATTTAGGCACATTAAAGGGGGTGAGGGGAGGAGGGAAAGCACAATGAACGAATACACTCCATGCATCAACTCAGAATTTAACATTCAACAAGTGTGGCAAAGAATCAGACCGACTCACTCACAAGCTGTGCAACTTTTATCCTCAAATCCAAACCAGAAGGCACTAAAAACTCATACATTACTCAGCTATCCTATTCATTAAGAGTTTAATCACAAGCTAGCCTACATGCCTGCCCATGCAGAGTGATAAGGTAGCAATCTTTGCCACCCTCCCGCCATGCAGGCTATGTGCATTATGAGTAGGTCTTCTGATTTTAGGGTTTAACAGATAAACTCCAGTGAAACACCTCTGATTAAAAAAAACCATGAAATAACACCAGAAAGACACTGGAAATAGTTACTTGCACCTAAGGGCTTGTCTACACACAGCAGTAAAGTGGACTACAGTGATGTGATGTCTAAAGCACACTAAGTATTGCTCATTAATTGACCTGTATATAATACACATTACTCATTACCGTATATACAAGGAGGAAGCCCCCAAAACCCCTGAGTTTTGGACATCTACCTAAAACTCAAACATTGCTAAAAATAAATTCCAAAACAAATGAAAATAATAAATCCAGAAAAACAGAAGCCTGGATTATGGATCACCATGCAGGGCAAACCCAGGTGGGCAGGGAGCTTTGACTGCACCTACCAACAGCCCCAGGTAGCACAGCTAAACTGGTATGGAGAGGGAAGTAAACTGCATGCGGAAAAGGGCTGGGGCAGATTATCTGCTCCATAGAGCAAGGAGGAAGTAGTGACCGAACTGTGAAACCTCGGATCCTGGGACAAAGCACTGCATGCAGCCCCTTACTCGGGGTGGATTGCAAAGTGCCAGTCCAGCCTTGAGGGCTGTATCTTGATGCCCATGGCGGGCAAGAACAAGCGTCATGAGGAGAGAAGATTAATGCTCCGTCAGGACGGGGAGCAACAATGGAACCTCTCCTGGAGCCTCAGCGCTGCATTAGTCCACGTGGCTGCTGGACCAGCTCTGCCCTGAGGGATGTGGTTGGGTTCTAAACAGTCCCCAGAGTCGCTGCACCCCAGAGGCTGCAGGGGCACTTGGTGGAGTTGGACTCTATGCTCTCCAGGGCTCGGAGAGGACTCCTCACACCCTGACTCTTATTGCCTGTGCAGTGGGACCACACCCGTTCTGTATTAAAGGTCTATGGTGCTCAGCCAGTCCCAGTTTCCTATTCTCAGCTCCTCCATCTCTGCCCTCCCTTCTAGTGAATCCGGGGGCCAATTTCCAATTTCCAATTTCACTCTCCTCTGCACATCCGCCCTGGCGTCTTGCCCCAGTCTGCTCCCTGCATAGCTCCTTGTCAGATCTCAGTGTTTCTCACCAGCCCCCTGGTGCCCAGTCTCCCTCCCCTATTTCGCTCACCAGCTCCCAGTCCCCACTCACTCCCCAACCTCCCTCCCTGCCCCTCAGGGGATCCCAGTTCCTGTCTCCTTACCCAGTAAGTTAAAATCAGTTTCTCTCTAGTCTCACCAGACTCCTTGTCCCATCCTACTCCTTTTCCTCTCCTCATCCCGCCTTTATCACCTCTGCATCTGAGGTGCCCCTGGGCGAGATGGGGGGGGTGTCAAACAACCTAAAATGCGGCCAACAACTGCTGTCCAGATTGCAGTGCTCTTAAGACGTGGAGATATGACCCATTAAGGCAAGTAATTCGAACATGCTGGAGGCCAGGGGCCTCATGTTGATGTCACTTCCACCAGTGTAAAGAAAGAGTGATTCCACTCAGCCAATGCCAATGTGGAATTGGTGCAAGTGAGATCACAATCTGGCCCCACCTCTGCCATTCCCCTGCAAGGTTCAGTGAGAGAGCCTAGACTCTAGGAAGTGGCCAGCATGTCCGGCAGTGGCTCGTGCGGGGGGAGGGCAGACGGCTCTGCCACGCGCTGCTCTCACCTGTGGATACTACCCCAAAGCTCCCATTGGCCACGGATCCCTGTTCCCAGCCAGTGGGAGCTGCGGGGGATGGTGCCTGCAGGCAAGAGCAGTGCACGGAGCCCTCTGCCCCCCTCTCCTCCAGGGGCCACAGGGACGTGGTGCTGGCCACTTCCGAGAGCAGCACGGGGCCAGGGCAGGCAGGGCCCCTGCCTTAGCCCCGCTGCGTCACGGGGCTGGTAATCCCGCGGGCCAGATTGAATGCCCTGACGGATCTGGCCCACGGGCCGTGAGTACACCCCTTTGGCGAACTTAGTTAACAAACCATTTTTAATTCCATAAAGAGCAATAAGAATAAGCAAGCATGTCTTTGTCTTTTGTAAAAGCACATACAGTTTTATAAGTGATTACGATGCACTCCGAGAATCCTGACACTGACAAATTTTTGATCCTTGTCCACTTCAGCAACCTTTAATGCATGGCCCTTTGTCCCAGAATGAAACACATGGGGATGCGATGTCTTCTCTAGCCTGCTTTCTTTCCACAAATGTCTTCTTGGTAGTCCATCGAATCCGAGGATGACAAATCTGTGCAGATCATCAGTTGTTGGTCTTACGGTGTGCCCTCTGGTGACTGTACAAGCCAATTCTAGAGGTGCACATTTTGCTGCAGATGGTGCATGGGAAGTTCGTGGTCAGTGGATTGTGCGCTGCTGATGCTCTCGGTCTTCCTCAAAGGCGATGCAGGTATTTTTGACTGTTGCATGCTACTGTGTTCTGTCGCTGGTGGCAAATGTACTTCCTCAATAATTGCAAACTCTGGTACAGTCTGTCATCAAAATCCTGGATTCAAACATCCTCAGGTTTTGGGAAACCTCACAACCCCAACCAAAGTTTCTAGCTTAGATCCATCTTCACAGAAAGCCCTTTCAAAAATCACTATGTGGTTGGCAAAGATTTTATTGTTTTATTGTTTTCAGCAAGTTTTGATGGTGTTCCTTTTCGATCTGATGCCAAAGGCTAGATACACATCTATCCCTTATCAATGGCAAACTGAAATCACTGCTAACAGAAACTCATAAAGATCCCAACATGCAGGTAGAAACATCTGAGTTACAGGAAGGGTCAATCATGCCCTGGCTTCTCTTGGAAACACTGTAGGGGATGGGGTTGTACACCTGCAGAAGTTGAGTGGAGATGCTCTTCCCACTTGCTGCTGAAAAGTACAGCGTCTGCTCGGAACGCTTGCAGATGCTGGAAGGTGTTCAAGGGTGTATGTGCTCGCCACACCACCAGTCTTGCTCCGTGCACCACCTGAGGCTGTGGGGCACTGCTAGGTATAATAGCTGGCTCACCTTGCAGTGAGGGCTGTTAGCAGCAGCCGCCGCCCTATAGGGGGTGTGATTTGCAGGCAGTAGAAAGGAAGAGACTCCCTCTGCCCTTTTCCAAGCTGTGAAGTTTACCCATTTAAAGGGCACCAGAATATAGTCCAAAATATGTTAATTTCACATGGCTAATCTGAAATGCCCAACCTGCCAGAAGGGGAGAGTTGGCTGTAGACTTTACATATTAACATACTAATCCTACCAAGTAGGCTCTTATGGTCAGAGCTCTAAGGTTCCATTTGACCCATCCACAGTGTTAACAGAGCAGTCAATAAATAAAAGAACCAGAAGATAGAAAATGTGGACACCTTACCCGATATCTTTAAAATTTAAAACACTGTTTCCGGTACATTCCCTGGAGAGCGTAAAACCATTCAGCTCTAATGATTTAAGCTGATAAGTGAGATGTATTTGGTGGTTTTGGCAGACTTTCTACATCTATAATTCAAAACCG